TAACAAGTTTTTAGGTTTTCAATGGTGAATTTTCACTAAAAACTGTCTAAATCATAAAAAATTCATATCTTGCAAAAGCTTTGGTTTATAAGCCTAAAAGTGTCGCAGTGAGTAGACAACATTTATCTTCAACTGTGGTGTAAATTTCCGACTCCTAGCTGATTATGGTCGTGAGATATTAATTAATTATTATTAATGGCATTTTCATTAATTAACTCATATCTCCGTCAAAAAGGCGCATGGACCCAAACCAACTTGGGGTTTTTCACTACTGACTATTCCTTACATGATGAAAATAGTCTGAGTCTAAAAGCTTTTAATCACCTTGAGAGGTTCTCTCGTTAGTACAGTGCAGGCTGGTAAACCTGTCAGTTTAAAACTTTTGATATAGGGAAACAATTTTATTCAGTAAACACACTTGTTTAACAAGGAGCTCAGCGAAACAAAGGTGATGAAGTGTAACAGAACTTATGCAAAACGTAACAACAACAGGGTAAAAACAAACTTTGTTCATAATAGATGGTATTTTAATGCATCCAATCGGCTACGTCTCAATGCTCATTAGTTCCTATACTCTTCAATAAAACAAGAGGATGCGCACACCGTGGCAACCAACGGTACAATGGCAAAAACTTTCTTCTAACATATACAACATTGAGAAGAAACCCAAAGAGTACTGTTTTTCTACGTTTAAGTCAGCATTTTTTCAACGAGGGTGTAGTTTTACGATTATCGTTAATACAAATGATTTTCGAAAAAAATTAAGAAACATATGCTAGAAATAGTCTACCTCCATTTCTTCTCTGTGCGCATACAGACGCCGTCGTTCTGACGATTAAATTTTAGTGTGAGTATTCGAAGCTATCATTTTAAAGATGCACAATTATTTGCGTATTTCGAAGATATTTCTATATTTACTTTTCTCGAACAATATTTGTTATTTTCAGATAAACTAACGTAATGGCCTATTTACGTCGTAAGCCTGAAGATGAAGTTTGGTATATACATACTCCGTTGAAAAACGAAAAACGTGAAATTGTTACTGCGCCTCCACCGTCCCAAATTCCCTATTTAAATGGTGTAATGGATGATGATATAGAAGTGAATAAACAAAAACCAATTTATGTAAAAGATACCGATTCAGAATACATTCGTCTGTGTAAATTAGGTGGCAGACATGACCTACTTGTCCACCGTGATCCATCGTTAAAAAAATCGAGAGAGCCAGTTGGATATCCGCGTCCGGATTGGTGGGACGCAATGTGTGTCCCATATATTGATCCGATTCAAGAAACTAAAAAAACAACGGATCATGTGTTTGGTGCTCCAGATTGGATGGTTCATGAAGAGCATCAGAATAACCACCAACCACAACATCAGCAGCAACAGATCCAACAATCACAATATCAGCAACAACAACCACAACATCTGCAGCAACAAACCCAACAAAAATCATCCAGCACTGGTGGAAACAAAAGTGCGACGCCAAATTCAAGAGCAGTATCATCGAAAAAAAAGTAAACTTTCTTTGTATGTACCTATTTTTTATTTCAATTTGAGTAAATTTGATCTGAGTGACGAATTTATGATTATTTCGAATGATTCTGGAAAAATACTTGTGCTACACCTCTTCAGCCACACTGTTTGTCTACTCAAATCCTTCGCCTTTCAATAGATTACACAAAGCGTAGCAAAAAATATTATATAATCAATAAAAAATTGAAACGTTTCTTGAAGCATATCACTAACAGCAAAATAAAGTTCATGCAAAATCGTGGATAAGTGTTTTTTTGTATTCAGCCCACTCGATAACTCCGAAGATTTTCTATTTTTGACGAGAGATCCTGTCAATAGTTTAGGAAAAATTTTGAATCTACTATCATTTTGTCCCGGAAATTCGTCATTTTGTTCGAAAAATTTTCCTAAACATTTGGCAACAGATCTCGCCCAAAACAGAAATTCTTCTGGGTTATCGAGTGTGATGAATACAAAAAAGCGCTTTTCCGCGACTCTTCATGAACTTTATTTTTTTCTTCACATTGATATGCGAAAAATGTGCAGCTAGAAATAACTGTCCAAAAATTGTTCTCAGTCCATGTAACGAAATTTAGAATGTTTTAGTAAGAATTGTACAAAGTAGTGAAAGTAACGTGAAATGGCTATAAATATTGAGTTACCTGCCCAGAATCAGAAGTCAGCTTTAGTCTTCGATCAAAATTTTTAAATCAAACCCAATTTTACATCTGCTAAGTATCTCAGGTAAGTCATAACGCGATTCCATTGTTACAGGAGAAGATATAAATAATCAGCAATTGCTTATCTACAATCAGTCACGGCAACCCTCAAATAGACGATTTTAATGTATTACATTCTGTAATACTGTACTCAGACGTGCTAATCGTTCGTATCCAGCGTGTCAGTGAGAGCAAGTTTTCGATAAGCAGCATCATAATTTCAGGACAAGAACTCAGCCGAAATTTTCTTTCCACATTCAGTGCTACACGGTGCTTTCATTCTTTTTTTTTATAAAAAAACCTTGTTCAGGCAGGCAGTCAGTCAGTAAGGGGACACCTTCTATATCGTGATCGGGATATATATCCCGATTGGGATATAGCTATATCCCGATCAGGATATAGAAAAAAAGTAGTATCCCAATCGGGATATAAAACACGAAATTTCGTCGTAAAAACGATTAAGGGGAAAATGACGACATTTTGGGGTAAAATTGACTTCACCATTAGAAAGAGCTTGAAAAACTACATCGGATTCTGTTGTGTTTGA